GGGGCAGCGGGCGTGGGGAGGCACTTTTCCTCTGCCCGGCAGCTCTGCGGGACCCCAGTCGGAGCCGGCCCGAGGAGGAGGAGGATCCTAGGACCCAGGTGAGTGAGCCCCGGGAATGCTGCTGCGCATGTGCGGGAGTTGCCTCACCCCGTTCGTATCTAGGGATCCCACGTAAGTCGGATCCACGTAAGTCGGGGACTGCCTGTAGTTATGGATAACTGGGAAGATCTTACTCAAGACGCAGTCTTTGGATGGAAGAGCTAAACAAAGACCTCTGAAGTTACAAGAAGAAGCAGTCCAACTTAGCAGAGGACAAAGGCAGAGACCAAAATGTCAAAACACCATCTTTAAACATGACAGACGCAGCAAAGTTTTTCTCTTGAATGGGTTTTTTCAGTCACAGTTGCCATAAAACCGAGTAAATTCTTTACCTTTCAGGGATATACATTCATGGTCTCTTGAGACTAAAGGACGCCAACTATTCTACTGACATATTAGTCAAAAGTATCACCAGGCATACCTTGCACTAATTGTATTCAAAAGTCAAAGTTGGCACATAAGACAGAAATATTCATAAGTTTCTTAGACACTGAGTATTCCAAATAACAAAAATTAACAACCCACTATAGCATTACATGTCAAAGCTCATCTCAACTGGCTTATTAAGCCCATGATTCAAGGCTAAAAAATCTGTTATTTTTAGCCTTGTAAGTCTGAGTTAGTTGACCTAGGATTTCAGATTCACTGCCATGAGCCTTTTATTGCAGTGTAGATAACTCCTTAAGACCAGTGACAACCATTATGATAATCTAATCAGATTTTTTGCATACTATAGGTCATAGCTTTTGCTAAAGCTATTATGCTTTTGAGCTAAAGCACATTTGTAAAGAGTTCAAGTAACAAGGAATCAATTACATTCCTAGGTACATTATTCCAATGGTTAATTACTCATGTTAAAAATGTGCATGCTATGACTAATTTAAATGTGTATAGTTTCAACATACAGCCATTTTTTCTTCTGATACCTTTGCTAGATGAAAGAGCCTTTGAGTACAAGATACAGTAAAATTCCAATTGTCCGGCATCCAGTGATCCGGCACTCCCGATAGTCCGGGACCAACTAGAACCCGGAAGTGCTCTGGCCAGCCAGACAATTGGAGCTGCTGTGAGCCCCATGGATGCTCGCAGCTGGGAAAGGGAAGGGGAGAAGAGGGTAAGGGAATTATACCCGTGACGGATCTGCCGGGACCCGTGCTGCGACCAGGCCGGGGGGAGCGGGGAGGAAACGGCGCGGCGAGGGGTGAACCCTCCACCATTTTGCAGGAAGGTGGGGGAAGCCCCACGCCACCGCCTAGAGTTTCCAGGAGGGGAGCAGGCTCCCCACCCCCCAGACTGCAGTAGTTATCGCTGAGCAGGGGAGTGAGGGGCGGCACTGAGGGACCAAACAGGCAGCACCC